GGAGGACGTTCACCTGTACCGTGTCGCCCCTTCCTCTCCCCGGCAGAGTATATACACACACGCCCGCTGCTTCCTGATACTTCCTCCCTATGGGGAGGCATGACTGCCAGCCATATGCTCCCGAAGCCTTGCGTGCACCTGCTCTCCCTGTGCACCCCCGCCCCAGTCATCTCGATCGCCTCGCCTGCTCCTTCTCCCACTTTGTTTCGAAGTCTGTTTGGCCCGCTCCCTCGGGAGGGTGGCGAGCGACGCCGGGTCGTTTCCCGCCACCGCCTTTGGGCATCCCGGGGCGCCCTTGCCCTCTTGGGCTGAGATCGCGGCTGCTCTCCGCGCAGGTTTTGCGAAGGCGCTGCCGGGTGTGCGCTTATGCGTGTCCCCCCCGCTGGTCCGGCTTTAGCCCTTGCCTTCCCGTCACTGTCCCTCGAGTCGCCCCCCTTTCTGCTTCCTTTGGTCCGCCTCTCCGTCCCTCGGGCGCCCTCTCCTCCCTCCCTCTCTCCACAAAGGTGTCCTTCGCGGTGGCAGCTGCTGGGGTGCCGTTCCGGCCTGCCCTTCCTCTGGCTCGCCAGTTCGTTCCGCGCGCTCCTCCGCTCGCTTGCCTTGTGCCGCCAGCAGCAGCGGGGGCACCCCTCTCCCTCTTCCTCTCCCGTTCGCCTTGCTCCCTGTTATTCTGGGTATTGTGTGTAATAAATGCACAGCCGCCTCACACTAATCAAGCTGATTACAAATTCTTGCGCGCCCTGTGCCGGAAACCGCAGTTTTAACCCCCTCCCCCTTCAGTCTTAACCCTCCAGCCCCCTTTTTAAAATCCGATTCCTATTTCCACCGTTCCTAGATGCCCTTTCTTCCCTCCCCCCCTCCGGCTTTCCTCGGTTTCCTCCACGCCGCCGCCGCCGCTGCCACCTCCTCTTTGCTCGTCTCTGTGACTCCCTCTCAGGACGCGTCGGATGATCCGGGGCCGCCGGGGAAGAGCTCCAGGCAGCAGCGGGGAGGCGACGTCCTCCTTTTACTGTCTTGGGCTGTACACATATTTAAAAAAAAAAGCCGGTGGCCCTCGGTGTTATTTTGTATTAAAATGAGGAGGAGGAGGAAGAAGCAGCAGCGGCAGCAGCAGCAGCAGAAGGCAATAGCGGCGAGGAAGGAGCGAGGGACGGCGGCGGCGGCGGCAGCAGCAGCAGCAGGAGGAGGAGTGATGAGTCAACTAATAATTTAATGGGGACAGAGCGAGCGAGCGAGAGGGAGAACGAGCAAGAGAGAGAGCTAAGCAAGCTACGTCCGGGGGACACACACACACACAGACACACACACAGCCCTGTAACATCCAGCAACAGCCACCAAACCGGTCTAAATAACAATAATAACCAGCCGAGGGCAGCAAGAACTTGAAAGCTCGCCGGATTTGTTTTATTATTATTAATGTTATTAATAATTTTTTGGGGTAACCTACCTTCTTTCTCCTCTCCCCTGATCTTCTCTCTCTTTTAACCTTCATTTTGCCTAACTCTTGGGAAGTATATCATCATCATCATCATCATTTATTTCTAACAAGTGAAGTGATTTCCACCCACTTTGGGTGGCGGTGACTATTTCCTTCCGCTACCTACCCCCCCCCTTTCCCAAACGCAGTCTCTCCGAGTAGATGAGAAAGCAGAGGTTCTCTGCCTTTTTTAAAAAAAGTAAACAGCAAGGGTGATATTGAAACTGAATTTTAGTGCCTTGCAACTTTTCTATATATGTTTTATGTTTTCATTATGCATGTGTTCTGTCAAGGCTTTAGGCGGAAAGTTTTGGGATTAGTTTTTTGGAGGGGAGAAAGCCATGTTTAAACTGTATCTTTATTTATATATGTTGTAGCTTACTAGGAAATAATTAGAAGAAGCTCGGTAGATTTTTTTTTTTGTCTTAAAAGTATTTAGCGGAAAAGCTGTTTTGTTCCCCCACACACTCCTTAGTTCTCTTATTTGCACTTTTTGGAAAACCAGTGGAGACTGTTAATCTCTAATTTGGTTTTTGTATTGTTGGGTGGTGGTGTTTTGTTTTGTTTTTTACAATAAACTTCAACCTTGTCAGCATTACATTGTCTGATTGCTTTTTTGCATTTTATATTTCCACATGTTGAAGATATTATTCTTTTATTTTTCTCTTATTTTTATTTTTGCACTTTCATAAATATTCTTTTTCTTGTTGCCTTCTCCCCATGGCTGCAATGTGTGACTGGTGTATATCCCCCTCCCCTTCCTAGCAAGAGATAATTTTGGGTAGGAAATATTCTTCAGTTTTTAAACATTTCTTTTGTAAAAAAGGGGGGATTTAGAAAACATCAGTCTTGAGCTGCTGCTGCTGCTGCTGCTTCTTGAAGAGATCGATGTGCAAAGGAAATCTCCTTTGTTTCTATTATTTATATGCCGTGAAGTTTTGAAGTGGTGAGTTTCAGGTCTTTTTAAAAAATTTTGGTGTTCCAGTTTCTAGATAGTGTTTTGCTTCTTTGTCTCTTTAAAAGGTCACAGTGAAAGCTTGGCCTGGATTATGACAGCCATATGGAATGGATAAGAACAGAGCCTCTCTTAAATGTGATTAAGGGGTTTTATCTGGAGAGAGAGAGAGAGGAGGAGGAGGGGGAAGAGAAGAAAGGGGAGGGGGCTAACTTTTGAAGTGTTGAAGACACAGTACTCCATTCTCACAGAAGGATATCCTGGCAACTGAATTCTATTTTATTAAATGTTTAGAATATAATCTTTCTCTGTTAGTAGTGTCTTTGTGAAACTATACATTGAAATTAATGTTTGTGCCAAAACCTTGTAGATGGAATCAACAGAAGCACCTGACCCTCTCATCTCCAGAGATAATAGTGAACTTTGTGGTGCTGTCACAGGCAAACCATGCTGACTCTTGCTCCTTGCCATTTCGAATGGAGGGAGACTTTGTTGAACTTTAGCCTTGGGCATAAAACTTTACACTGGTAAATCAGGTGTTTTATGTGCACATAAGTCTGCTTTGCAACATAAATCTAAGAGATGACTGAGCTTAAAGGATGTGTAGTGAGTGGGGGATTAAGTCCAAGTTATTTTATGTTATTTATTGTACTTTAAAATTGCTTAATAATAGAGGTTCTTTATAAATCACAATTACCTACTTACATTTTTCAGTAAATATAACATTGTAATCCATATTTCTGTTTGTTGAGCTTGAGATAATGTGGAGATGGAATGTGATGGGGTTTGGATTGTTTGGGCCAAAATCCTGAAGCAGGTGAGTTTTAAAGTTTGTAGTGAATAAGAGTGTGTTTCCCTCCCCCTTCTATTTTAAAACATTCCACTGATTCTAAATAAATAAGAGAAAAACTAGAATGTCATCCAAAATGCTTTTGGTGAAGCACTACCTAAGTGGGGAGATCTTAGTAATTTAGATTTGCAGTTTTAGGTTAAGCAGCAGTTAATGTAATGAAAAAGAATAATCTTGATTAAGAAAAAGTGATTAAAGTAGGCATATTTATTGTTAATGAGACTCATAACCAAAAACAGATGGGACCACAATCAATGGTAAACCTTTGGTTCTCAGCATGTCACCCAAGAGTGTAAGGATAAATAACCATTATATTCTAAACTTTATAGTTATTCAGCTGGCATTCTTAAGGTTGCATCTAAACCTTCAGATTAACACGCTGTTTATGAAAGACATAGCAGCCTATGATTAAACAAGAACCAAATTAGGATAGAATATACAGCATCTTCACCAAAATGAAGATTTTATTGTTGCTGGAAAAAAGTTATATATTTTCTGTGTATTCAAAATGCCTGATACAGAACCAGTGTTCTTTCTAAGTAATGTTGTCCCCGCTCCATGTTTTTATGTTTGCACATAATAATATAAACATTTCCTCAAGTGATTGGTCAGTATGCACTATGACCAGAGTTCTTAGTACATAAAGTAGACACTATAGCTAGGAAGTATGGCAGATGTCCTATTATAAAGTAAGATTTCGTTTAAAATAAAAGTGCAACTAAGACATTTCATTCATTCTCGAGATATCAACCATTTCTCTTACTCACACACTGTCTCTCTATTTTGTAAATTAATATTACAGTTTTCAGTAGTTGCCTGAAAAATATATTTTTGTCATGGAATATGATGGATTTTTAAAAAGACCAGCCAACATTACCTATTTCTGAATCACTATGGTCTACTCCAGTATTTAGAATAATTTATAGATGGTTTTGATCTTTTATTTCACATGTCTACCATTGGTATACATTACAGAGATTTCGTAGCTGCTAAAAAGTAATATCCAAAAAAGTTGTGATTCTCTAGAGGCTTCCATATTTTCTTCCATATGAGCTTTGTTAACCTGACATAGTTAATTCAGCATTTCATATTCTAATGTAACATGAAAAAGAATGTGTCTACATCTTTTTATCTGATATTGGTCAACTTTTTAGTATATACAGTTGGTTAAAATAATAGTAAAAATGCTTGGAGACTGCCAATCTGAGGTTATATATTTCTGTCTATGAACATATACATCCGCATGAAAGATCTTTTTATTAGTATAATCTGTTGGATGCCTAGCTAAAGTTTTCATTCTCTTTATATTCTTATGAATAACATAGTACAATATTTTTTTCTTTATTAAGTTGAAGGAAGGAGCTTTTATCAACATAACAATCTTAGGACATACACACGAGATCTGTAGCAATAGGTATGCTATTATGTGAATACTGCTAAATAGTTGCACCTGCTATTCTCACTTATGCATTCCAAATATATAGATCCCATATATAAATCAGCTAACATATAAAGCGGGTTAAGAAACCCTTACAATTTAGTTAATTTGGCAAGGAAGCAAATTTCCGAAGAGTGTATTTTTATCTTAAGAACCATCTAATATTATGTGAACATGCTATACAGATGTATTATGTACATGTGTAAAGCTGCCTACATAAAACTACGCACGCGTATACAACACACATATATATTTTTTTAAATCATGGCAGGTGATCTTTAGAGGCGGGACTGAGTATGGATCATTTGAACGAGACAACTCAGGGGAAAGAACATTCAGAAATGTCTAACAATGTAAGCGATCCGAAGGGTCCACCAGCCAAAATTGCCCGCTTGGAACAGAATGGGAGCCCATTAGGAAGAGGAAGACTTGGAAGTACAGGAGCTAAAATGCAAGGAGTGCCTTTAAAACACTCTGGACACCTGATGAAAACACATACTAGAAAAGGTAACACAATAATTCTGACTATGGAATCTTGATTTTTTTTTTAATAATATAGATTGTCTTTTAGAAGAAACATCCATCCAAGATTTTGCATAATTTGTACTTCACTATTACATTTCTGATCTGGGTCTGAATTGTGATTGAAATGGCACTTGAAAGATTGAACTGAATGCTTGGGTGGAGCATCTTGCTTTTCAGGGTGGAGTCTTTTTTTAAAAACCAAAAAGAACCCTTACCTACACATTATCTGCAGGTATATTGAGAAGAAACAATACTACCAGTGAAAGATACAGTAACTCTTACAATAAATTCTTCCTTTGTGTAGTATTGAGCCAAGTACTCTTTTATAGCACGCTAATGAATAATAGATCATTCAAAAAGCCAGAATTCTTCTGCTCTGAACAAGATTCCAAAATTGAAAGGTCAACAAGATTTGAAAATCATTTGCTGGTTGGCTTTGGGAAAATAATAGGAAAGCTTGTTTGGTGTTCACTGAAAAACTCTTTTTATGATGACCATTTTTCGCACTTTGTTTCCTTAAGTACAATTCATTACTGAGCAATGAACAACTTGGGTATCGTATTGCTCAGTGACTGGTTTACTGTAATTATACAATCTCACAAGAAGATGCTTTCAGAGCCATTGACTGATTGTGCAGTGTGCATTTCTGTGGCTTTGTTTATATTATGATTATTTTAAAATAAAATTAGTAGCATGCAGGATCCTACATAGTAGTTGTGTCAATTTAAATCTGTGTTGTATATGATTTATTTGTCGGAACTCCGTTTTCTTAGTGTAACTGGTGCATGTTTATAATTCATGTGGTTTTCTTGCATTTGCTAAGCAAACTAACATTTGCTTCAAACACTTAAACACATAAAGTTAGAAGGCACTGGCATTTCATTCTGATTTATAACATTTATCATACAATAATTTATTTTTTCCTTGGATTGGCAAAAACAAAGAATATATTGATCCTAAAATGAACAGACACAGCACTCCGTATTGTTAGATCTGTATCTATTAAAAATGGAAAAACAGCACTTCAGCAAATTCTTTGGCCTCTGCTCATGATTACCCTATTTATTGATTGTTTGCCAAGAATGTATGCATCTTAAGAAAGCCAAAGCGAGGCATTAAAAATATAATTTATTGCTGCTTTTTAAACAGAGTGCATTAATATTGTGCTGTAAAGCACTGGGGCTATATAAAAAGGACTTTCTGACGCCTGCAAACATATAAGTTCCATAAATTCCTAAATAGGAGATTTCAGCTGTCTCTGGTATTATGTGATATTTGCACAGCAAACTTTAATGCCAGGACAGTTTTAGACAAGGATTCTACAGAGTTCTCTGCTTCTTATGGCAGACGTGCTGTTTACATAGAGTCATAAACCTTCAGCAAAACCTCTAACACTGCCTTCAGGTTTAAATCATGCAGTATTTTTAGCATTGAGCACTGACCAATGCTTTCCCCTTTAATACTAGAAGGTTATAAAGTTGGAGGTCTTGCCAAGTACTTGCAAGAGTGATCAGCTAGCTGAGATTATGATCTCCTGTCTAACATTTCTGTATTTAATGGAAGTGCATCAGTGACAAGTTGTGGAGATCAAGCTTGTAGTCAGATGACTTTTTTGCTAGTTGCATAGAAAATCAAAACTTGGTCAATAGGAACCACTTCTCCAAAAAGGAAACTTGTACTTAACTACATCTGCCCATAGGCCTTTCACACAAATGCTCATAAATCAAACTCACTTTCCTGTTTTAATGTAAAATATAATTATTGCGTTCTTATCCCAGTGGGGATAGATTCAGGGTGTTTAAATTGAAAGATTGGCTACTTTTTGTTCTGAAATAATGTAATTTTTTTTCGCGGTCAGTAAAAGGAAATAATAGAGTGATATTATATTATATTTCTCAAGTAAAATATTATAGTTCTAAAGTGAGCAGCAAATAAATGTGTGTGGATTTTATAACTAGACCTCTGATAGTGATTCCAGCCCCCATTCTCCCATGCGTTGTTCTGTTTCGCTTTTGATGGCTTACCACATACTGTGAAGCAAGTTTCGTCTAAGATCTGATAAGTTCACCAAGGAAGAAATAAACAGTTTATATTATGATACTTAATTTGTGTGTTTGTGTGTGGGAGATTTTGTTAAATCTCTTGTTATGAAATATAAAATACAGGCAAGTATTTAGGCTTGTGTGTCATGTGCCTTTTCAATAAATCAGAGAGTCTGTGCACCTATCTAAGCAAGCTTGAAAGGTTGGTTTGCCAGAGACTGACTCTTTGGCAAAGAGCTAGCTGCAGATACAGTTCAAGTGGTAATTCTCATTATAATCCTCTCCTGCATTTAAGAGTACAAAGGATTCTAGTGCAAGTTACTTTGATGTCATCAATAAATCACTTTTACAAGTGCAGTATGCTGTTATATACCTTTACAGAATTAGATGACTTCTGTAAATGCAGAGGGCAGTGCTTACAGAAGCATTAATGTTTTAGGAGTAATTGGTGATCTTAGGCGCCCTGTTAAAGTAACCTTTGCCATCATTTATGCTAAAGATTATGCCCTTCTGGCAGTATGCCATGAGACAGCTCCTGAGCAGCAGATGTTTAACCCTTTCATGTCTTGTCAGGAGGGGGACCTTATCTGCATCACAGAAAAGAGTTGGGAGTTTCATTGCTGACTAAGTGGATGTAGGTGTTATATTTACAAGCTACTTTCCCTTATCTTGTGGTTTCATAAAAACAGCTCTTTGACTTAGTAAATGTTGCTTGAATAGTACTGCATGCATAAGAATCTATTAGTCTTCTATATCTATCTCAGTTTAAGGCTATATTTATAGAAATCTTGATTTGTAAATGTCACACATGCACGAATGCTTAAAAGGCCTAACATGTTTTACTGGCAATACTTATAATCCTTTGAGATCAATGAGATATATGAATACATGTTTTATAAATCTTTGTCCATGTTGACTACTCAGACCATACCATTATTTAAAAAGGAAGCAAATAGTTCCTTGAAGTTAAAATGTTAAAAGACAAACAAAAGTTAATTGTAACATGTGTATAGTGTAATTGGTATTTTTTAAAACGAATAAGGCAGCTGACATGCATACAACAACTTGGACTGCAGTAAAACAAAAAAATTAGCATTGTTTATGAGGGTTTTTTTTCCTTTTTCTGGATATGTGTGTTCTGCTTATTTCAAACAATAAAATCAATTAGCATTAGGTAGGGTTTGGGTTTCTTGCATGGTTTCATTAATGGGAAATTTGAAGAACAGCCAGCCAAAGGTGAAATTTTGTAACAATTAGCAATTCAATATTTTTGGCTCTACTAAGGAAGTTTTATTGTAAACAGAATTATGTAGATAGCATTGCAATGGCTTGCTCTGACTGTTTGTGCAGTATGTATGTAAGTAGTCACGCTGCAGTCTCCCACAACAAATCAGGTACGATAGGGACAACCAACATTATTTCTCTGCAACCAACCATATCATTTCTGCTAGCATGTAGGAGCAGAAAAAATCAAGACTTAATATTTGTTAAAATATTTATTAAATGTATATGTATGATGTATCCCATTATCTAAGAAGAACCTGTGGGTAGGATTTCACCTGCATAATATTTCTTTTGCAGTGTATTCTGAAGAGTCACGTAAGTACTGATGAAAATTGTGATTTTCTTTTACAATTATTGTATTACAGGAACCATGCTTCCAGTTTTCTGTGTAGTGGAACATTATGAAAACTCCATTGAATATGATTGCAAAGAAGAACATGCAGAATTTGTTTTGGTAAGGAAGGACATGTTATTCAACCAGCTGATTGAAATGGCATTGCTATCACTTGGATATTCTCATAGCTCTGCTGCCCAAGCAAAAGGTAAATATGGCTTAGAAATAAGCAAAATGATATATATTTACTTGTAGTGGAAGGATTTTTTTTTTCAGGAAGTGTATATCATCTCCAGCAGAGTGAAATGGGTCTTTTAAATTTTGCTAAAATGCATTTTCATGACCATTTGTCTGTTTATCCAAGTGAAATGTTGTACTGTGTTTTTGTTTTTAAATGATTTCAGTTAAATAAATGATATGCATCACCAACGATCTACAAGAAAATAAAGAGTGCATTTCAGTAGATGAACTTCTGAGGAAGTCAACTTTATTCTATGATTGAGGTTCTTTTCTTTTTGTAACTAAGAAACCAAAATCCCTTAGTTTACAGAGACAAATAACTAACAGTAAGAAATTATTTGTGTATATAAGCTTATTATTACTCTTACTGTAAAAGGGAGAAAACTTGGCACTGGACTTAAAAAATAACATATTAGCATAACATCCAATAATCATGGATTTTTGTAGCACTTTCTTCACATTCACAACTTTTCCCTCTCATCTTTCTGTCTGATGCAGGACTAATCCAGGTTGGGAAATGGAACCCAGTTCCTCTGTCCTACGTGACAGATGCTCCTGATGCTACAGTAGCTGACATGCTGCAGGATGTTTATCATGTGGTCACATTAAAAATCCAGTTGCACAGGTATGTCACACAGGGTGGAAGTGTTAAGATAAAACAGAGTTAGATGTATTACAAATACTCAGTTTGTGCTGAGTTAAGCATGCAATCTGTAAAATAATACCTGCATTCTTTTGTTATTGCAGTTAATCAGGAAGGGAAAAACCACCCACAATATTATAGAAATCTTATATTCATATAGCTCCGATTCATAGCTTTTCTTCTGGTATCTCATTAAAACTATATTGCATTTTAGTCAATTAAATGATGCATTGCAAGAAGGCATTTTACATAAAGTTTACTTAAGAGAAAAATATTTTTGCATATCATGAACAGCACCATCTGTGTGCATTCTGAAAAAGAATGACTTGTTCACTCTTATTGTTGCAGTCAAGGTTTTTAAATTTCACTGTAACTAAAAGGGAGGGGGAGCTAATATATTAATTCTTTTCATGATCAGTCTTGAGAAGGCATTACACCTTAAATTGTTTTACCAAGCGCATCAGAGCAGGAAGGTAGAAGTAACATGAAAAAATAGTCACCACATGCAGCTGATGTATAATTCATGCATCAATACAGCAGATGTGTTGTATAAAGTAATTAACTAATCGGAACAATCAGGAGACTGAGAGCAATCTCCAGATGCATCTGCTTGATGCGCAAAATGAAATCTGTCTGTCTTAAAGGAATGTTCTGCAGCAGAATGCAATCTTGTAGTAATCCCTTTTCTCATCTTATGTCTCAAATAGTTGCCCTAAACTCGAAGACTTGCCTCCTGAACAGTGGTCTCACACAACAGTACGAAATGCTCTAAAGGACTTACTGAAGGATATGAACCAGAGTTCATTGGCCAAGGAATGTCCCCTTTCACAGGTATTTTACCTAATGTGCAGTACATGGTAAAACACCACAGGCAACACTGATCTGAATTTTCCACAGACTATTTCTGCTGGAATCGTTTGCCAAAAACATTAATTTGCGTGACTGTTTCATCAACTCTCTAAAATGTGTTAAATTCATATTGAAACAACTGCTGAGATACTAAATCCTGCAAGAGACTTTTCTTTATACCTTACCAAGCTGAAGTTTCCCTAACTTTATGTCAAATTTTTTGAACTGTGTTATTATAACTTCCCTTATTAGAGGCCAGATGCATCACAGTAGTTAAAAGTCTCTTGAATTTGTTAAAACTTCTGATGGATTTCAGTGTTTTTATCTGAACTAGTTAAGACTTCAATTGAGAAAAGCAAAACATCACATTGGTATTCCTTGTGAGCGTACCATATGTTCTAAAGTTTTACAAAAGAAAATCAGCCACAGCGTATTATTAATCCAGATATACAACAGCACTTATATAATGCGTGAGACCAATTTCATATGGACAACTTGGAAGTGGCTAGGGGATATTTCACACTGCTGCTGTGTGTAAATGAAATAAGTGTATTTTTAAATATGTTCGTATTATAATGCTAAATAGAATATTAATGTCCTTTCTTGAATAACAGTCAGTTACATTGCATGTTCCTATGCGTGTCATCATGAACAGACATATTCTCTAGTAAGTGCCTTTTTAGTTTTACCAATTTCCCATGTTGTAAATAATTATATTTTCCTATAAGGAAATATTATTTTGGTCACTGTCCCTAAGGACAGTACTATTCCCTTACCCAATTTTTCCTGTTTTTCCATAACAGCCGGCACCTGCCCAGTGGTAGTTTTTACCATTATCGTCCAATCTACTTACATTCTTGTCAAACTGAAAAACTTAGATAATCTTGTAAATTCAACCCTCCACTTCCTCCCCTTCCTCCTTCTCCTCCTCCGGTATATATATTCTACTTTCATTTTCCTGAGTTCCCATGTAAATCCTTTTTAGAAAGTTCATGTAGAGACTATAAAATAGTTGGAGAATTTGTCGATATTTAAGGTCAGAAGCTTTGTGAAAACTTTCCCCAGAGTTTAGTTGTATAATGATGTGACTTCTGTCAATCAATGGTAAAAAACAGACACAGCATATTTGTAGGGCTCATACAGTATACAGACATTACTTGGGCTTTAAAGCTATTTGTATCTTTCAGTGCTAAGAGAGATTTCATCCATTTTGGGGCCTAAATGAAAAAAAAAGCCTGAAAATTCCAATTAAACTGTTCTGAGGCTTCCAAAGGAAGAGTTGATATGCATGCTTGCTTCCTTTTGTATTGATTTTGACTTTTTAAAGTCTGGAAATTGTTGTACGTTATGTAGTTGAATGTGTTGTATGTTTAGCTGGCATGGTGACTCCTGTGTTAAGTCCCACTTTGTTGAATAGGATTTATGTGGAACTAAGTGTGCATAGAATTTCAGCTACAAAGTTCCTGCCTTTATATTATTTAATGGTGATATGGTAGAGAATAACAAAGCAGGGATAGAGGGTAAGAACAGAAAACTCTTGTCTTAAGATGCAATAGTTCATTTGTTTTGGCATACTATTGTAATCTATTTGCAGTTTGTCTGGAAAATTCAGTATGATGCAATGGTAAACAAAAGACTTCTGTTGCCTTGTACCTGGATCAAATGTTATGTGGTAGTCCCTGTATCTAAAGAGATCATTTCAAATGAAAAACCACTTTAAGCAGCACATTGAAAGAACAGAACTAAAACATCTCAAAAATGTAAATTGATCTGTGGCAAGTTTGACACGGCAAAGCCAGGCCCTAGCTGTTAGGGCAGGCTACAGTATAATTTGATGGGCTGCTATATGAAATTTTTTAAAATTTATGTAAGTAGAAAATACAGCAGGCCTCTTTCCTCTTTCATGTATTTTCTTGATTTGCTAATTTGTCAGTGAAACTTGTCATTTTATACTTGATGAGCAGACTCAATTCACTCCACAAAATCCTTTTTTGAACCAAGGATTTTGCCATGTACATTGCTTATACATCACCCTGTGTCCATTTATTTTGTGAAGAGTTAAGGATGGCTCTGTCTTACATGTGAGATGACTTCATGCTTTACAGTAGAAAGCCTGCTTTTTAGAAAGCCTGCTAGAAAACTCAATTTTCTTTCCAAAATCTATTACAAACAAAAAAGTTAGACTTTTAAGATATGGATTCTAAGGATTTACTTTACTTTTTAACGGTTTACTTTTACAAGAGTTGTATGCTGTAGAACTTTCCTAACAGCCATAAGAACTTTTTCCGTGGATAAAATCTGACAATCCATTTTATTAAGATTTCTTACACCAACCAAAATTAACTAACAGTTCTTGAGGCTTGTAAACCTCATATGTTGTACTGTTTTGTATTCGGGATATATTTCTGGCTGGGCCATAAATTGCCTCAGCTATAAGTGTCTGCCATATGCAGTCACACACAGAGAGACAAATATATCTCTGTCTGTCTGTCTGTCTGTCTGTCTGTCTGTCTGTCTGTCTGTCTGTCTGTCTGTCTGTCTGTCTGTCTGTCTGTCTGTCTGTCTGTCTGTCTGTCTGTCTGTCTGTCTGTCTGTCTGTCTGTCTGTCTGTCTGTCTGTCTGTCTGTCTGTCTGTCTGTCTGTCTGTCTGTCTGTCTGTCTGTCTGTCTGTCTGTCTGTCTGTCTGTCTGTCTGTCTGTCTGTCTGTCTGTCTGTCTGTCTGTCTGTCTGTCTGTCTGTCTGTCTGTCTGTCTGTCTGTCTGTCTGTCTGTCTGTCTGTCTGTCTGTCTGTCTGTCTGTCTGTCTGTCTGTCTGTCTGTCTGTCTGTCTGTCTGTCTGTCTGTCTGTCTGTCTGTCTGTCTGTCTGTCTGTCTGTCTGTCTGTCTGTCTGTCTGTCTGTCTGTCTGTCTGTCTGTCTGTCTGTCTGTCTGTCTGTCTGTCTGTCTGTCTGTCTGTCTGTCTGTCTGTCTGTCTGTCTGTCTGTCTGTCTGTCTGTCTGTCTGTCTGTCTGTCTGTCTGTCTGTCTGTCTGTCTGTCTGTCTGTCTGTCTATCTATCTATCTATCTATCTATCTATCTATCTATATCCATCTATGGTTTTATATTTGGGATATATTTCTGGCTGGGCTATAAAAATGCCTCAGCTATAAGTGTCTTTTCTCTGCATACATGGAAACAATTGATATTGCAAGTGTCATTTTATTCATTCTATTTATTGTAATTTTCAGAAAGAAATAAGGAGGTTGTAATATTAGGTCTGTACACCTTTATTTGTCCTCTATGTATTTTAGTTTCCTCATGTACCATTATATACTGTATCAGCCATAAATCATGTGTTTAGCACTTAAATAATAAAAAAAGCAAAGCAAAGCATGCTGCTTATATACCTCCCCATAGCGCTTTAAGCACTCTTGGGGCTGTTTACAAGTTAATTATGCAGGCTACAAATTGCCCCTCCCTCTAGTGAGCTGGGTACTCATTTTATGGACCTCAGAAGGATAAAAGGCTTGAGTCAACCTTTAGTTGGCTACCTGGGATTGAACCATGGGTCATGAGTAGAGATGAGGGTATTTGAATACAAATACAAATATCCCTCCACAGATAGAGATGAAAAGAGTCTGGCCCCATGGGGCCAGATGGTCCACTCATGATTCTGCCATTGCCGTGACCTCTGCAGAGCCTTCCAATGAGTCCAGAGATCGAGTTTGGCTCGCCATTCCTGGCAGGAGGTGGGATGATAAGCCTCTCTGCTAGATTGAAGAGTGGCTCACCAAACACAATCTCTGGAGCCATTGGAATGCTCCATGGCGGTTGCGGCAGCAACACAATCGTGAGTGGACTGTCCGGCTCCATGGGGCCGGACCCTTGTTATCTCCACCTGTGGGGGGATATTTGTATTAGTACACAAATACCCCTATCTCTAGTCATGAGCATAGTTTTGGCTGCGGTACAGCAGTTTAACCACTGCGCCATGAAGGTCTATAATAACTTCTTGCCTTCAGTACTAGTTCTAAAGTAATACATTTTGATTGCATACATATGTATACACGCATGCATATGCATACATGCACACATATGCATGCATGCACGCACACACACATCATTTGGACACCAAGTACAGAAAGGTGGCTATAGGTATGCTCTTTGCCAGATTAGTAAAATTTATAATTGAGCTATTGATAAATGACACATCTGGTTATTGAAAGCTGCGTAGAGGTGTTGGGTGTTTCTTCTAATGCCCTTAATGAAGTGAAATATATAGTCTAGGGCAGTGGTTCTTAACCTTTGTTACTCGGATGTTTTTGAACTGCAACTCCCAGAAACCCCAGCCAGCACAGTTGGTGGTGAAGGCTTCTAGGAGTTGCAGTCCAAAACTCCTGAGTAACCCAAGGTTAAGAACCAGTGGTGTAGGGTTTCTTGGAAATGTAGACTGTGGAATCTTCAATAGTATCAAACAGCAGATAACAATCTCACCACCAGATTCAGAAGAGACCATGGGTACACTTTTATATGCTTTTGTAATATACTTATTGTACAAATAATTGTAGAAAATTACAGTACAAATTATTATACTGCACTGAATGGTTGAGGTACCAAACCACATAACTCAGGAGGCCTGAGCTTGAATCCCCACTCAGTAATGGAAACTCACTGGGAGTATGGAACTGCTACACCATTCCTTAAATACCTTACTTGCCTTGAAAGCCTTATTAGGGTTCCTATAAGACAGTTTCGATTTGATGGCATATAACAACAAACTGCATGGTTACTCTAAAATAGGATGATGAGTTTGTTAGTTTTAGACAGTATGATTTGAATTTACTACAATAATATCTTAACTTGAAGGGGCCACATTAGTTAAACAACGGCATTCTGATTCTTCCAAGTTCTGCTTCTTTGTGTGATTGTAGGCTTAGATTAGCCCCTGAGAGGAAGAAGCCCATGACTGGGCAGGTGTAATGAGGGGTCAGAAACTCAGCTTAT